TGCTTTCCCCATACTTGACGAAACCATAGGGGATAGGTTTATCCTCGAGGAACCAGTTCCTCGAGGATAAACCTATCCCGTCCTCCTTTTTGCAATCTTATTTGATAGTGATCCCTAAGCCAGATAAGGATGACACTGTCTGTGCGAACTACCGCCCTATTGCACTTTTGAACTCCGACTACAAAATCTTTACTAAATTGCTAGCAAACAGACTTTGCCTTTTTACCTAGTCTGGTCCACAAGGACCAGGTTGGTTTTGTTCTGGGCAGACAGGCGGGGGACAACACACGCAGACTTGTCAACCAGATCGACATCGCGAATCGTGGAGGACTGGGGATGGTCCTTCTAAGCCTAGACGCTGAGAAGGCTTTTGATAGGCTTGGTTGGCCTTTCCTGAGATCTCTCCTGGCCCGCATCGGTGTGGTGGGCCCGTTTGCTGCAGCCATTGCATCCCTCTACTCTACGCCATCGGCGTCTATCAAAATGAGGGGGGGCGTGTACCCTGTATTCCAGATCCGTAATGGATCTCGGCAGGGGTGCCCGCTTTCCCCGCTATTGTTTGTGCTTTGCATAGAGGCTCTGGCTGCTAGGATTCGGGCCGCTCCGGACATATCGGGGCTCACTCTGGGTTCGCAGGAATTCAAGCTGGCATTATTTGCTGATGATGTGATTCTCACGCTCACAAACCCGGGGGATCGCTGCAGAGCTTGCATCGTGAGCTTCAGCTTTTCTCGGGTCTGTCTGGTTACAAGTTGAATCTGGGTAAGACAGAGGCTATGCCCATAAATATCTCCCCCACTGACTTGACTTTACTCCAATCAGCATACCCCTATAGATGGACGAATGAAAAATTGAAATATTTAGGAATTCACTTGACCCCCAAAATCCACGTTATACAATGTCAACTACAAACCACTGCTTGTTACCCTGCGATCCCTCCTACATAAATGGGGCCCATATAATCTATCACTCACTGATCACTCACAGCCGTTAAAATGACCTTGCTCCCGAAATTGCTTTACTATTTTAACACATTGCCGATTCCCATACCGGCCTCGGACCTTCGATCCCTGCAAGGACAGATCTCACACTTTCTATGGGGGGGAGGGCGACATAGGGTTTCTTCAGCAAATACTTTGTGCCCCCAAGCACCGGGGTGGCCTGGCGCTGCCCAATATCTCCCACTACTTTGCCGCGGCTCAGCTGCGGGCTGTACCTTTTTGGAGTGCCATGTCCCCTCATGCGGTGTGGGTTGAGATTGAGTCCCTGTGGCTTGCGCCGACTCACCTTAACTCTC